GATTCAATGATATGGAAGCATGGGTCAGACTGACGANGGGGAGAGATTAACCAAAGAACTTACATGCATATATGCACAACCCAAGGACACGGACCATGGTGTGGGGAGAGGGACTGAGGAGGGGGGTGGAGGTATGGAACGGGTCACTGGGGAGAGAAAAGGACATCTGTAATATTTTTAACAAAAATAAATAAATCCCAAATATGATAAGTCACACATTTTCACACCATAATAAAATTACTAAATCAAAAGAGATAACACTAAAAGTTGCAGGAGAAAGAAAAGAAACATTAACTCAAGAGAAGTACAATTAGACCAGCGATTTTTGACCCTTTTCATCTCACGGCACATAAACTAATTACTAAAATTCTGTGGCACACCAAAAAATATATGTTTTGCCAATCTGACAAAAAATAGGTATAATTTTGATTCATTCACACTGGATGGCATTATTGGGTTGGCTGTTGTCATTTTTTCATTTGACAATCTAAAGGAAAAGAGGTCGGTGCCCCTGACCAAAGAGGTACTGCATGTGTTAAAAATCCTTGCTGCACACGGGTTGAAAATTGCTGAATTAGACTAACAGTTGACTTCAAGAGGAACATTAGACAAACAAGGAGACAGAGGACAATGAGATGTTCTCTTCAAAATACTGAATAAAAAATGACTCCCCCATTATGATTCTTTGTCCAGCGAAACACCCGTTAAGAAGGAAGGTGAGATAAATGCATCATTAGAAGACTTGCACTGAAGGAAAATGAAAAGGGGTTTTTCAAGGAGAAAGAAAATGCTCACAGAGGGAAGCTCGTACTTTCTTCTGACCTGTCCTGATTCACTAATACTTTTTAACTTTGTCTAATTTGTGTTAAACTCATCCACTGAGATCTAGTTTCAGCTATTGAAATTGCAATTCTAGATGTAGAAAAATTGAGCACAAAAATATGTAGGTAAATTTAAATTACTATTGAGCCGATAATGTCATCTATAATAATTGTCTCCTATATATTAAACACGTTACAACATGAGGAAGATGATGTAAAGGTAAACTGTGAGTCACTTAATTTCAGTGGGTATTCCCAGAGGCATCTTCCAGTACCCATTTTTAGCTAATGAGTACACAGCATGCTTCAGGCTGAGCTTTCCAGCAATCGGGATGGACCTGGACATCCCCTGGGCTTTCGGGTCATACCTTGCCAGCCTATTGGCCACCTCGTAACCCACAAGCCCTTCTGAATGGCTACACCTGAGCCTCCTTTGTTAGGAAGGTGCTCTTAGCATGTATTAACATTCACAGAGAGAGTTTGGTGAAGAAATCATTGTGTAATTGTGCTAGAGGAAGTATGAAAGAATTGTTTTATTACTTACTAGGAAGTTGACATTTTCAAGCTTTTCTTTTCTTTGTCATTTCATGGAGCCATTTGGGGATAAGAGCAAAAATGCTGTTGAAGTTTAGAAGAGCTTTCTGAATTCTTTATTTGCGGAGGCATTTGAGTACTGAGCTTACGTATTTCTCTTTATGCACAAAAAGTCTTCATAGATAAAGCAATGTCAGTTCACATGATTGAACTGTTGTGGTGCATTTTCTGTCTTGTGAATTTCTCCTGAGCTCAGAGGCATGCCCACCAACTCAGAAAAACAGGACACACTCTGTGCCAGGAAAAGACAGAAACACGGTAATGTTTTTCCTCTGTTCTCAGGTGGTTCTCTCTGTGTTCCCTGTAGGACCCTTTTACTCTCAGTTCCCACCACTCCTTGTTATTCCTTATCAGGCATTGTTCCCCTGCAGTCCTCCCATCTTTGTTCTCCTGGACCGGAGGTAGGAGAACATTTCTCTCTGACTTAGAACTTGTTTCTCTTACCTAAAATGTTTGATCTGCTCCTCAAAACCACATCTCTTTCTCCTTTTGGGAAAATTACACACTTGGGTTGGGGGTGAAGGAAAGAGAATCTAATGATTCTTTGGCACCTCGGTTGTCGTCAGCACTAAAGTTAGTAAGCGAAGTACTCACAACATTCCAAAGTAATTATTTTTAGTCTTCATTTTACACGTGGGAAAATTGAGACAAGACTCTTTCCTACATCTTGCTATAGTCCTTGTTTCTGGTGCTGAGAGCCCACATTACACCAGAAACCTGGAGGCNAAAGTAATTATTTTTAGTCTTCATTTTACACGTGGGAAAATTGAGACAAGACTCTTTCCTACATCTTGCTATAGTCCTTGTTTCTGGTGCTGAGAGCCCACATTATACCAGAATCCTGGAGGTTTGGGGAGACTAATACCTCAAAGCGAACACTCTGTAAGAGGTGGGAGGAGATCAGCATATCCGTGATAGACTTTGGGCGCCTGGTGACTCAAAAATAACCCTCTCTGAGCACTCCAGACATACAAGCTTCAGAGACAAATTGTATGTTTAGTCATAATAGTTTCCCTCGAAAGTATGTCCTCCANGGGCGCCTGGTGACTCAAAAATAACCCTCTCTGAGCACTCCAAACATACAAGCTTCAGAGACAAATTGTATCTTTAGTCATAATAGTTTCCCTCGAAAGTATGTCCTCCGNGGGCGCCTGGTGACTCAAAAATAACCCTCTCTGAGCACTCCAAACATACAGGCTCCAGAGACAAATTATATCTTTAGTCATAATAGTTTCCCTCGAAAGTATGTCCTCCAAAGTATGTGGATGTTCAGAAGAGAGCACAAGACAGCATTGGTGCAGACCTTTCCAGCTGCTGAAATTTTTCTCCAGTGTCCTTTCTATATCTGTTTTCATGTGAGACTAGGGTGTCCAAGTCCCTTACTGGTTCCTAATCACATCTGTGCTCTGTGAGTAGTAAAGCTCTAGACTATACTCCTCCTGAGCCTCATTCATTTACTTACTCATGCATATGCTCAATTTTGTTTTTATATAACATGTTTTGAGCAACTCCTTTGAGGAAGTTACATAGGTGCTTTTGTATGTCTCATTCTAAGATGAGCTCTCAGGCAGCTTTTCTTTGGAGAGGATCTAGTCAGCTAACTCCACCTAATTGTGCAATAACTGAAAACATATAGTGGCAGCAACTCAGAGCTATTTATATACCACATTTGAACTCACTAGTCTGAATAAACGAAGCATTGAGAATAGTAAAATTGTAGCACCAGGTAAAAGTGATGATTTTATTTATTTCTGTGACCCCTCAAATAGCTAATATAGTCCACCTCCACCTGTGAGGGAGTCTGGCCCCTGACGGGATACAATTTCCGGGTTCTATGCAAGACTTTTATGGCCTTTATTTCTAAGACAAAGTTTTCCCAAAGTTTAAGGAATTTCTAGTGCTAGTAGTGGGGCTCCATGTGGAGATGAGTAGAATACAAGGGAATTTTCTTTTTGCTGCCCTCCTAAATTGTAATGGGTGGTTCTCTGTCTGTATTTCATGGTTTGATTTCTTGCTTTTTCAGCATCTTCTGCCACTGATGTACTATTCTGCAGATGAATCCAAGTCACTGTAGCTATAGCATGAGTGGTAAGTAAAAACATAAAATAAAAATTAAGTAATAATAGAAAATCCAATCCCCACATGACTGGATGTATTTAAGTTTTTATAAAAAATATATACAATTTACCGATTTATTTTCCTCTTTTAGAAATCAAGGAAGAGTTCTATATCAACGGGAATTTCCAAACTTTACCTTAATACCAAATTCTCACACTGACATTCAAACTTACTCATCTCCTGGGCTGCTGGATTTCAAAAGTCTTTCTTTGAATTCTGTGTTAGTTAATTGCTCAGCAAGGTGAGAAGTGCAAGTAATGTGGACTTGATCCCTAAGGATAACTTTAATTCTGTGTGGTGTTTTGAGAAATTGTGCTGGTCTTACAGTATGAACACAAGAGACAGAGCAGGACATGAAGATGAAGACAGTGTAGTTAATAGTGTTGAAGGGTTATCCTGAGCTGATGGTTGTAATCTGGGTTGTAGGTTCAGAGTTGGAAAAAATGAAGGTCAGGCTTTAGAAAGTTACTGGATAGTCTATGTTTACAAATGGCATGAAGGCACAGACAAGAGCTGAATCTGAGTAGATCACAGACTGGGCATGGAGGTTATGACCAGAATATGTTTCCATATCGGTCAGCAGTTCCTTGTGATAACTTACATGGCATCTGGGATATCTCTGTGCTGCTTTTTCTTTGATTAACTCCCTTTCTCCTCAAATGGCAAATGTCCAGCCACTACCCCTCTTCACTTTCTATTAATGATCTCATTTAAATACTTAGTGAGTAATAAAAGCCATCAGATGAGGAGTGCTTCCTTCCTCTCACCAAATCTGACTTCTTGCGTGTTTGACGGATGAAGTAGAAACGCTCTCACCGACGGCCACCCATGCTCTGCTTCTGCTCTGAAACCAAGTGCTCTCACAGACACCATTTCTGTGATTTTATCTTACTCCTCCTGGAATTTCTCTCTTTCTACTGTCTTATTATCAACAATTTACAAACATCCTTCAGTAGATTTAATAATAAAACAACAACAAATTAAGACATTAAAGAAAGAACAATAAATCTGGACAGGGAGTTGACCTAGGGTTGGGATTCTGCAGAAAAGATTTATTACAGGTTTTAGGACTGACCATCTAGAGACTGACCATTTCGGAACATACATTTTTGAGTAGGCATGACACTTTGTGAATGGAGAAGAGGGTTAAAACACCTGGATATTAGGCATAAGAAGAGGCTTCACCCAATTTATTTCTGACATTGCATGGAACACGGTGAAGGCAATGAGGAACCACAGTGTCATCTCCGAGTTCATCCTCTTTGGGCTGTCTGCCGACCCCCAGGNGATATTAGGCATAAGAAGAGGCTTCACCCAATTTATTTCTGACATTGCATAGAACACGGTGAAGGCAATGAGGAACCACAGCGTCATCTCCGAGTTCACCCTCTTTGGGCTGTCTGCCGNGGCATAAGAAGAGGCTTCACCCAATTTATTTCTGACATTGCATGGAACACAGTGAAGGCAATGAGGAACCACAGTGTCATCTCCGAGTTCACCCTCTTTGGGCTGTCTGCCGACCCCCAGATCCAGGCTCTGCTCTTTGTGCTGTTCCTTGTTGTTTACCTCCTGACCCTCACGGGGAACCTGCTGCTGCTGCTGGTGATCAGGATTAACTCCCATCTTCACATCCCCATGTACTTTTTCCTGGGACAGTTGTCCTTCCTGGATCTCTGCCACTCCTCTGTCACTGTGCCCAAGCTGTTGGAGAATCTCCTGTCTGAGAAGAAAACAATCTCAGTAGAGGGCTGCCTGGCTCAGGTCTTCCTTCTGTTTGCCACCGGAGGCACTGAATCCTGCCTACTCACCGTGATGGCCTATGACCGCTACGTTGCCATCAGCTCTCCTCTGCTCTACGGCAAGGTGATGAACAGACAGCTGTGTATGGGGCTGGTGTGGGGCTCCTGGGGCTTGGCTTTTCTGGACGCTCTCATCAATATCCTTGTAGCTCTCCAATTAGACTTCTGTGAGGCTCAGAATATCCACCACTTCTGCTGTGAGCTGCCCTCTCTCTATCCTTTGTCCTGCTCTGACGTGACTGCAAGTTTTATTGTCCTGCTCTGCTCTAGCCTCCTGCATTTCTTTGGAAATTTTCTCTTGATATTTTTCTCCTATGTTCGCATTTTGTCCACCATCCTGAGCATCAGCTCCACCACAGGCAGAAGCAAGGCCTTCTCCACCTGCTCCTCCCACCTCACTGCAGTGATCTTCTTTTATGGCTCAGGATTTCTCCGCTATCTCATGCCAAATTCAGAATCCACGCAGGAGTTAATCTTCTCTGTGCAGTACAGTGTGGTCACCCCCATGCTGAATCCCCTAATCTATAGCCTGAAGAACAAGGAGGTGAAGGCAGCCGTGAGAAGCATGTTGAAAAAATGTTTCTAGTGTTTCAAGTAATAGACTACAGCATCAGAATGATGAGGCCCCTGGGTCGAATTGCAATAAGTAGTGCCTGGGTATTAAGGAGAATTCTCTGATGTCAGGATCTGCAAGATACCTTACAGCTTTTCTTAAAAATACTTAAGCAGAGGTGGAGTTAATTTTCTTGGAATGATACCTAGTCAGAGGAAGGTGGGTGGATAAACCTCTTGTCTAGCAATTTTTCTTACAAAAATGTTTAATTTATTACACACAGTATGGTAGACGTCGTTATTACCCTCTGTCAATCTTTGCCATCCTTCTAGCAGCTAAACTCCACTTGCTCAATATGGTTCCATAGAGACTGTTAATCATGGTGTCCCCAAGTCCTCGCCCCCCCTCTCATTATTCATTCATTCTTCCTGGCACAGTGTTTGGTACAGGAATGAGCACAGGGTCAATGTCAGACCATTCACTCTGTAAGGAATTTTAATCTTGGGGAGAGATTCAGAGAGGCAGAGGCCAGCCTTCTGCTTGCAGTTCTCTGACAGCCTATCCCAGTGGCCGTGCTGATAACATACTAGTGTTATCCTAGATTCTGCCTTTTCAGGGCAGATTTGTCAACATGAATTATAGTAAGAACATGATTAGATATTTACATCACATCATCAGCAACTGTGCTAAGCATTTTGCATACATGATCCCATTTAAATATCACAAGTGCTTTAGGCAAATGCTTTAGTTATCCTTATTTTAACAAGAAGAAACTGACTCAGAGAGGGAAGTGCTGAGGTTGGAATTTGGAACCAAATGTACTTACTCCTAAGTCCATTTTTTTTAACACCCTGACTCTCCCCTTGATGTTGTGAGCTGCCCCAGGACCCAGTTCATGAATTCCCTTTTTAATGTTTATTATTGTTGTTGTCTTAATTTACNGAGGTTGGAATTTGGAACCAAATGTACTTACTCCTAAGTCCATTTTTTTTTAGCACCCTGGCATACTGACTCTCCCCTCAATGCTGTGAGCTACCCCAGGACCCAGTTCATGAATTCCCTTTTTAATGTTTATTATTGTTGTTGTCTTAACTTACTTTGNTTCATGAATTCCCTTTTTAATGTTTATTATTGTTGTTGTCTTAATTTACTTTAAGTAAGTCAGAATTAGATTATGTCATTTGCAAGGAAAATACCTAAAAGATGCATATTGGTCCACCATGGAACTGCAGGTGTAGACCTCCAGGGCAATGGGGATGTTTGAAATTGTTTGTTGGACCTATGCATGTCCAGTAAACACCACAAATAACACATTTGTTGATCCTGCTTCAAACCATTCACCTAATAGCCCAAATCCCCAGATGTCAGGGGCCCATGACAAGAGAAGATTCCCCAGCTCGTGCACACTGCTAGATGTGCAGCTCTTCCACTCAGCTCAGTGATGCTGCAGAAATGGCTGAACATGAGAGTGTCAGTAGCAGAGCAAATGCTGTGCAGGGCCTGTGGCAACTCCAGAAGGAAGCCTACGAAATTTCAGCAGAGGTCCCTTAGATCATGAAACACAATTGGAGAATTAGTGAGAAGATTTGGGAGAGATGTGTGGAATAAGATTGTCATGGTCAAAAATTAATTGTTATTTCTTTTTGAAATTACCTTTTGGTTTTTGCTTATTTACAACCTGTCCGCTGTCATCGTCCCCTTTGCACTCACTTTGCACTCTCTAGCCTCAGAAAATATAAACTCAGAGATCAAGGATATTTTCGGGCATCTTCACTTCATTTTTAGGAATATTAAAATAGTTTCAAATGTGCTTGTTGCACATAAGTAAATTTTGAATGTGTAAATTATGGGCAAAGAAATGAGAATATATCTAGGATGGAGTCTCACAGAGGGACCTCACTGCCAAAGCAATTGGAAGTAATTATATGATTAGAATAGTTTACTATGTGAATGCAAATCTCTTTGTTCCTTGTGATCCTGGTTCTGGGCCATGGACTCAGAGTTTGACCATGGCTGGGCAAGGTGGTGGTTATGCAAAGGTTCAACAAATTTTCATGCATGAGGGCTGTTCTGCTGTTGCCACTGGTAAAATTTAAAGGTCATACACAACTTTTATAGCTGTATGACCAGATACACTTTGTTTTTTGTATCTATTGTGAATTGAAATTTTAATTACATTGATTACTTGGGTATTTCTAGTATGCAGGTATGCTGTGTTGTTTTTGCACACTGATCTCTTTATTATTATTATTGTTATTATTATTATTGATAATTTCTTCTTCAAGATTGAATACAGAGCACTACCCCTCCTCTCTGAAATACTGAATTAGGATCTATAAGACTGGGGCTCAGCCATCTCTATTTTTTAATAAGCTTCCCAGGTTTTTCTGATTTATGTGTTTAAGAACCATTCTTCTAGACTTCATTAACAAAACCAATAAGACTAAATACTTTTCATGGAAAATGTTTAAAGGCAATCAAGAGTGAAAAAGTGAACAGGTCAAAATTAATAGGCACTTAGCTGGAAGAGTGGCAAAATGCCAGTGAGATTCCAAACTTACAATACCATTGGCAACCTGATAGAGTGCAAGAGTTGCCTATTGAGTATCAGTTACATGCTAGGTGCTATGTTAGGCACTAGAATTTAAGAGAGAAAAAAGGTTTTTCTCCTTAGGAAGCTCTTAGACTAGAAAATGATTTTTGGACTTCAATGGGAATAAAAATTACCATGGGTACTTGTTAAGAATGCAGACACTCAGCGCCTGATTAGGAAGAATACTCATATAATTAGTAAAACTGAAAGTAAACAGACATTTATAATAAAAGTGTCAAGTTTTAAGGTATATATAGAAATGTTATTTGATCACTGATCCAGACCAGGAGGGAAGGGTAAATATCAGGGATAGGTTTTCATAAAAGTTGATACCAAATTCAATTCTTGAGTAAAACCCGGTAGTTTTCTAGATGAAAAAAAGGTAGGAAGAACATGGAAAATGGCATTGAATGATGAAAAAGTGTGGCCTATGTGAGGTACCTAGCAAGGTTTCTCATATCTGGAGTTTAGGAGTTGGGAGCCAGGCCCAAGGGAAATGGAATTGGAAAAATAAGCAGGACTAGATCATGAAGAGTCTTGTATCCTAAACTAAAGAGTTTTAATTTCACCCAGAAATGGCGAATCATTGAAGGATTTGAAGTTGTGAAGTAGAGGGTACTCTGTCAGAGCTGGGTTTTAGGAAAAGCATTCTGATAGTACTTAATGAATAGGTTGAGTGGGTGTCAGGGTGAGGCAAGAAAGTGAGAATGGCAGGAAGGCCAATAATGTGATTAAATTGATGGGATGTAGAAAAAGGTGATAAAATTGATGGGATGGGAGGAAGAAGGTAGGAAGATGTGAAGGATGACTTCCAGGTTGCCGGTTGGAGTCCATTCAGCTCATCTTGGTAATAGTGTTTCTTCTTCTTTTTTGTTTCTTTATTGTTGAAAATATTACAGATGTCCCCTTTTTACCCCCATTGATCCCCTCCACCCCGCATCCACCCCACCCCCAGGACCTCCTCCGACCAGTGTCTGTGTCATGGGCCACACGTATAAACATATAAGTTCCTTGACTAATCTCTCCCCGCCCCCTCCCCCTTCCCTCCTCCCCATGCTTCTGTGTCTCTGGATCCATTTTGTTCATCAGTTTATTTTGTTTATTATATTCCATATATAAGTGAGATCATGTGGTACTTGTCTTTCTCTGACTGGCTTATTTCACTTAGCATAATACTCTCAAGTTCCCTCCATGCTGTCCCAAAGGATAAAAGATCCTTCTTTTGTACAGCTGTGCACACTCATCTTGTACCTGTCAAGTTTGATGAACTATCTTCCTACGTCTAATGCCTTATTTATAGATACTATTGCATTTTTAAATTATATTTTAGTTATTTCATCTTAAATAAAGGGAAACTATTTTTTATGCAATTTTTATATATTTCATATTTTAAAGTTAATTCACTGGCCAGGACATCCTTTTTACTGGGATCTGTGAGAAAGCTTCTCATGTTTCAGCATTAAGGATGATGTTTGTTCTGTTTTTGATCAATACCTTTGAATTAGTATACAAGTTCTCGTCTAACCATGTTTTGCTAAGAATTGGTATAAAATTTTACCAAATGTGTTTTCTATTTCTGTTGAGTACCAGGACTTTTTCTCTTTTGTTTACTAATGTATAGTGTCTGTCACATAATAAGCATGCAATAAATACCTGTTAAATAAAATATAAATTTACTGAAATAGTCATATGGTTTTTATTCTTTGATTTTTTTAAGTAATAAGTTGTATTAGTAGGTATTCTGATGTTGAAGAATTGTTGCATTCCTGAAATCACCCTACTTAGGTAGAGTAGTAAAAACGGAATTAACTTTCATCAGTATTTAACTTAAGAATTTTCTATTTATGTTCAGAAGTGAGGATAGTATAACTTTTTCCTTTCATTCATCTGGTCTTTTCTTTTTAACAGCATTAATGAAGTTATGTTTCACACATCACAAAGTTCACCTGTTCAATCCGTACAATGCCATGGTCTCTAGCACATTCACAGAGTTGTGCAACCATCACCACAACCCAAACCGAAACCATTTTCATCACCCCCATACTTATAAGCAGTAACACTCCAGACCCTACTTCTAGGCAATCAATATTCTATTTTTTGCCAATTATAGATTTGCCTATTTCAGAATCTGATCCTGGCTTCAATAGTATGCTTTCTTTCATCCTTGTATTTGCTTAAAATATTTTCATTTAAAAAGGGTTACCATTTCTCAGAAGGCTTTATAAAACTCACCTATAAAATTTTGAGGACTTCTTGTCCTTTTGAGGAAAACTTTTGACTGCCAGTTTAATTCCTTGAATGATTAGTGGTATATTTGGGTTTGATACCTGTTCATGAATCAATTTTAGTAATTTATAATTTTTGCCTATTGTTCATTTAATGTGTTAAACTTCATTGATATTTTGTTACTTATAATATCTAGTATTTTTTCAGTGCTTTTCAGCATTAATTTAATTTGAAGATAAGATAAAAAACTTCAAACATACAGCAAAGTTGAAAGAATTCTAAGNAATTTTTGCCTATTGTTCATTTAATGTGTTAAACTTCATTGATATTTTGTAACTTATAATATCTACTATTATTTCAGTGTTTTGCAGCATTGATTTAATTTGAAGATAGGATAAAAAACTTCAAACATACAACAAAGTTGAAAGAATTGTACAGTGAATATCCTTGTAATCACATCTAAATTTTACTATTAACATTTTAGTATATGTACCTCATCATCTATCTGTCCATCTCCCCATTCTCCAAT